TGCACAGAGTCTCAATTGAATTAAGTGCGCAAACTGATGACGGAGCAATGCAATAATGCGACCGTCATAACGTCAAGCTAGATAACGAGATTGTCCGACGGGATTTGTCCATTTCATTTGCATCTAAATGTAGCAGCTAGGCTCAGCAGCGACGTCCACAGTTGACATGATAATAGCTCCCGAAATGAATAGCTTGCCGACGGTCCAGCAGGAGCATTACCAGATTAAATCGAAAGAACTATGTGGTTAGTAGAAAGTCTGTCTGGAGTGACACACAGGGGGTCGCTTGCCAAGCCCTCGACATTCGCGAAATTGGCGACACTGTCCCGTCCTTCTATGCTGTTTCAATTGCTTTGCTGTTTCGTGAAGTGCTGTCTACTGCTACTGATGCTCTGCAATCTCAAGACGTTTTGTTTTGAGCACGTTCTGCTTGTATTCGGAAGCGCAAACATTCTTCGGGCGTATTGGCCGGAGAACTCAACTGCTGACTCTCTTCCCCGTAGGACCTGGAGCGTCCCCTGTCAGCCGGCAGTGTCATGTCTCCGCTGGCGCTCGCCAGGCGGCCGTACTGAGTGTCCCTCCTCCACGCAGGACCTGGAGCGTCCCCTATCGGCCGGCAGTGTCATGTCTCCGCTGGCGCTCGCCAGGCGGCCGTACTGAATGTCCCTCCTCCACGCAGGACCTGGAGTGTCCCCTGTCGGCCGGCAGTGTCATGTCTCCGCTGACGCTCGCCAGGCGGTCGTACTGAGTGTCCCTCCTCCACGCAGGACCTGGAGCGTCCCCTGTCAGCCGGCAGTGTCATGTCTCCGCTGGCGCTCGCCAGGCGGCCGTACTGAGTGTCCCTCCTCCACGCAGGACCTGGAGCGTCCCCTGTCAGCCGGCAGTGTCATGTCTCCGCTGACGCTCGCCAGGCGGTCGTACTGAGTGTCCCTCCTCCACGCAGGACCTGGAGCGTCCCCTATCGGCCGGCAGCGTCATGTCTCCGCTGGCGCTCGCCAGGCGGCCGTACTGAGTGTCCCTCCTCCACGCAGGACCTGGAGCGTCCCCTGTCGGCCGGCAGTGTCATGTCTCCGCTGACGCCCGGCAGGCGGCCGTCCGTCACCTTCGCAGAGCAAAATGACAGCGACATTGATGAGCTGCTCCGGTGAAGCTCCCGGCCGTGACAGCCGCTGTGGCGGCAGCTGCCTCCTGTACTGACAGCTGCACAAGTGGCAGCTGTTTCGAGACCGCTGCTCAGGCGGCAGCTGCTTTGGGTGCGCCAGCTAAGTCATCGGTCACCTGGCGGCAGCTGGTCAGCGGCAGCTGCTCCAGTGGCAGGCATCTTGACGCCAGCTTTCCGGGCGGTACCTCTGCAGCAGATATCTCAAGCTGCCACTGGTGGTCCGACAGAGCCCCGATAAAGCAGCCCGCGGCGCCAGCGATGGCGACCCGCAGACGCCTCCAGAAGCAGCACCGCAGCGGGGCCTGGACGCCTCAGTGCCAATCCTGGCGGCGACGAGCGAGGGTGGCGCCGCTGTCCCCGCGACCCACAGCGACGTCAGTGGTGCTGGCGGCGTGACCTACGGACAGGGTGCCGGCGTGGTGTCGCGGACGCGACGGGTGGTGACGGGTGGTGACGGGTGGTGATCGGGCGCCGATGGCTGCCGCTGCTGTAGTGGGTCCTGTCCCTGGCTGTGCTTAAACTTGACGGCAGGCCGGCGGGACGTCCTCAACACGAGCCAACGGCAATCCGACGGGACGCCGGACCGCAGCTGGCACGTACGCCCGGCGACGAGGCGACGCAGCTTTACCGCAGAGGAAGGTGCGGTCGGCGTCTCGTGCTGGGCGGCCCCAGCATGGCCTCTGTCTGGCCACGCACCCTGTCGTGTCGCTGGCTAGATGCCACTACCAGCCCATGACCGAGGGACACTGAGGAGTTCAACAGCCAGCCAAGGACCCGAGAACGCAGTGAGCTTCGACTGAGCTACCGACGTCCGTCGGATGACACGCCATGCATAATGGCTCTACCGTGGTGGAATTCGACTGCAAGAAGGAACGACTTGCCGATGCGCACCCGCAAGGCTGTCGAGATCGAAGGATTGACTTAAGCTGGCGCGGTGGATATCCGGGGTGGTCAGCTTTTGGGACTATTCGGGGCCTTTACTCTGTCAGTGTTCCTGTTTGGACTAAGTAGCTTTTGCAATGATTCAGGGTTAGGAGTCCGAGGTGGTTCAGTAATCCTTCATCCGTTTTGGGCTGCTGAACTGTGTTTGATGTCTCGGCCTATGGTCTTATTCCCCTGCATCCAACCTACTGTCAAGAGACGGTATATTTTTGTGACCTGCGGTGCTGTTAAAGCTGCAGTGGATGTTATTTCCGGCGCATCGGGCGCTCAGCGCCCTCTGCGGGGTTCTCCTTCATGTATGGAGCATGACGCTCGGCTGCTACCGGGATGTGCTCCCGTGGGATGTGTGCATTTCCATATGCATCCTCCATTCCTCATCTCTTCTCCACAAATAAAATACTCCACTTGTCACGTGATCTGTGCGATAAACGCAGCTTAATCGCACGGCACACAGGGTGGGTCAGGCTGACTGCTGTGCACACAGCAGCCTGGCTGGCAAACACAGCGGTCTGGCTGACATGCACAGCAGCCTGGCTACAAACACAGCAGGCTGGCTGACAAACGCAGCGGCCTGGCCGATAAACACAGCAGCCTGGCTGATAAACACAGCGGCCTGGCTGACGAACACAGCGGCCTGGCTGACAACCACAGCAGCCTACCTGGCAAACACAGCAGCCTGGCTGGCAAACACAGCAGCCTGGCTGGCAAACACAGCAGCCTGGCTGACAAACACAGCAGCCTAGCTGACAACACAGCAGCCTGCCTGACAAACACAGCAGTCAGGCACGAACAGGCCCCGTTGTTTCGGGTTTTGATAACATGAGATTTCCGGTGTGCCCAATTTCGTCACTAAGTTACATATCTATCTTTCGTTCCACGCCAAATTAAGTGCCAATGAAAGGGCGGACCGTTGCAAAGGGTCTCCGGGGTGTATTTACTGCCGTTGATTATCGTGCGGGTGCATTTACCGCAGTAATTATAGACTTAGAGAGGACAGAATTTCCGAGTTCATTTACCATGACAAAACCTAACATAACCTTATGCTGAAGCTCAAACAGGTTGTGCTATGACATACACATAACGGGACGCATTCGGGTCACGTGGCTGATTAGAGTTAGGCGACATTCACGTCGTGTTTGAAAATACTTCGTGTTGTTTTTGGGCTAAGCAAATGGTCCTGGACACTGGCCCTGGTTCACCGTTTTCCATAACGTGAACTGAGAGGGTTGTCGCGACGTCCCCCCCCCCCTTGCCTACCGTTTCAGAACCTAGAAAAATTGAGCCAAGCGAATAACACCAGCGGATGGGTCTTAACGAGACCTTCCGATTGTTAATAAGGCTTGTGTTTCCATGTCAACAATCAATCGCATTACGTTAAGTCCGGGGTCGAATTTTCCCAAAAATCAAATTTGTATCTTTACATGCTCTTGTGCAAGACCAAACCCGGCAGCGACGTAAAATCTGAAAAGGCGTGTTGCTTAATTACTAGTGCCTAAATGTACGGTTTTATGCTTTTTGTGCTTACATTTATGATGTACGGCTCCGTTAATGTAACAATGTTGACCGGCCGCGAGCGTTTCCCGGCGACGTTGGTCGCCGCCCGCCGCCCGCGCAGGCCGTAGATCGCCACGCAACGTTCGTTTAAAAGGACGCCGCTGCTCCAGAACCAGAAATGCTACAGACACGTTCTGGGTGTCGAAACACGCGCAACGAATGCTCCATACGCTTCTGGAAATTGTGGCGCCATTGCAGGACATGCCGGGGAGAGTACCTTACCCAGGAAACCTTGGGGAGGGGATCGCATCAACTCTCTCCCCTGTCAGGGCGAGGGTTAAACGATATGAAGCAAAAAACAATGACGTTAGTTTTCGCCACATCTCTAACTCCATCCACTCTGGTCCACCCCTTTCACACTGATCTACCCAGTACTAACTAGCCCGCAACCGCCACTTCCATATCTTAATGCCCCTAGCAGTGCCTGACTTGACTGACGCAATCATACACACGCACACACACAAGTATTAAAACGAAATGCAATGGCCCATTATTAGCCAGTCGCCGTTTCTCATGGGTGCCGGCATTTGCCTCGTCCGTGTCTCATAATGAAGTCTTGACGAAACCCACTCCATCAAAACCGTGCTTAATGCTGCACAACAATTGCATGTTTAATTTTTCTGTTAACTACTTGTATCGCTCAGAAATGGCACACCCTTGCAGGGAAGCGGTGTGCTTTAACACACGTGTTCATGATCTGCGATGAACCAACGATTGTGACGAACGTAGCTCAAGCTTAGTAAACTACGCATTATCTAGTCACCACCTCTGCTAACGTGAAGGCCACATAAAGTTTTCGTCACGGTGTATTGCAAAAATACTTTTACGCAGCATTTCATCCCACCGTAAACCACTGAAGCAGCCCAACCACCGTGGACATAGCCCCCGTCTTCAACATGGTGACTCAGCCACGTGTAAAGGCACCAACCAGTTGACAGGCACCTCTCACACCTGTCTATCTACCATAAATATAACCAATTCACCACGGAATCAATCAGTTGCCACGAAACGCCAGTTAGCGACCAGTCCGTTCGTGTGCGATACGGTGATCAACACAGTATAAAACAACTTAACGAGCCACCGGGGCGGCCCGCTCACAACGGTCGCCCAGTGCAAACTTGATCCCTCACACCACAGCAGATTGCACCGTCACACCGAGGGCGACGGCAGTCGACAGACGGCAGACGGCAAGCAGCAGACGGCAGACGGCAGACTGCAGACGACAGACGGCAGGCAGCAGGCGGCAGACTGTCTACTGCAGACTGCAGACGACAGACTGTCTACTGCAGACGGCAGCCGACAGACGGCAGACTGCAGACGGCAGCCGACAGACGGCAGACTGCAGACGACAGACTGTCTACTGCAGACGGCAGCCGACAGACGGCAGACTGCAGACGGCGGACGGCAACCGACATGCAGCAGACTGCAGATGACAGACTGCAGACAGGCGGCAGACCAGACTGCAGACTGCAGACGCCAGATGGTAGGCAGCAGACTGCAGACGATGGACCAGACTGCATCCTACAGAGTGCAGACTGCAGACGTCAGACTGCAGACGGCAGCCCCAAGACCCAAAAGACGGGCGCCGCCCCGATGCCGGCCTAGATGGCGCTGACGCCGCCCATCAGGTGAACGGACCGGCCCTTGTACTTGTCGCTAATGGACTCTTCGATCTGTGGAGGCAAAAAACCTCACGTCAGGGGCCGGTGATTATAAGCGCGGCGAGTCATCCGTCGGGAGCAGTCTCCGGTATTAGGGGAGTGTCACGGCTGAGGCTGGTGATTATTACCACGGTGAGTCATGAGTCAACAGGGGGGGGGGGGGGGGAGGGGGCTCCGCCGTCAGGGAACAGGCTCACACGCTCACCGTGTCCGGGCGGGACAGCAGTGAGTCAGGAACGCTTGCAGCGTCAAGAAACGTACAATGGTCCGAGCAGGCTATCGACGGCTGTCGCGCTCGAACAGACGCTACACAGCACTGACGAATGATACGCCGATGCATTATTGTTCTATTCAACGTAAAATGCTCCCCTATACTAAACTTTCACATCTACAGTGCGCAGCGTCCGAATAGTTTAAAACTACCACCTCCTAGCGCTTGGTGAGACCGTCGGCCGGCGCCGCCTCAAAACATCACCTGGCTCTGCAGCTGGCGGGTCTTCTCAATGATCAGCTTCAGCTTGGGCTGCAGAGCCGCCGCCTCCTCGGCCGCCGCCTTCTTCCGCTGCTTGACGGCCTCCACCGAGGCGGTCATCTTGTCGGCGATGTCCAGCTTCTGCCGCAGCGAGCCTACCAGCCTGTCCACGTACCTGCGGGCACCGACAGGCCACGATACAGGACACGCCGCGCTCCCGTGCGGGGCCGCTGCCGCCGCCCACCCCTGGAGGATGGCCGCGGAAAACGAGCGGTGGGCCGTGTCGTCGCAGTGCTAGAAAGACCCGGATAAACCACCAAGCGAACGGGTCGTCAAAGATGTCACTGCCCTCTGCGCAGGGGATCCTCGGACTGCACTGTTCTCCCCGGTATCCTCTGTGTGTGACAAGAGCGTTCCCATCTGTAGCGCTGTAGCCAGCACAAAGCTAAAACAGCTCTACGGATCCGAGGAAACGCGTGATCTTGATCTGTAAGAGCTGGACCTGTACGATACGGGAGCAGCGGACCTCGTGGCTCCACGCGACGAGGCGAGTCTCACCGGCGGATCGTCCGACAGCGCACCCAAGCGTCCCGCCAGCCAGTCCGACATCGGCAGCCGTCAGAGAGTCTGACCGGCGGATCATCCGACAGTCCACACAAGCGTCCCGCCAGCCAATCCGACGCCGGCAGCCGCCACGCCCCGGTCAGACTCGGGCAGCCCGTCCCCCCCTCACCCCACCCCCCACACTCTCTGCGGCGGTTATTCAAAGTCCACCTCAACACAGGGTCTCGCGCCTTCCATACCTGGGCGAGGACTTGACGAGGAACAGGTGCTGCAGCTTGACCGTGCGCAGGCTGTCCAGCACCTGGCGGGTCTCCGACTGCATGACTCGCACGGCGTCGGCCGTCTGCAGCTGTACCGACTGCGGTGCGCCCTGCATCTGGCTCATGCTGACCATGCCGTCCTCACGGCTGTCCGACATCTCCACCGCCCGCTGCATCAGGAACGTCTCCAGCTGGGGGACACGGGGTCAAAGGTCAGGATATCTCCATCGCCCGCTGCATCCGGAACATCTTAAACCGGGGAACACGGGAACCGGGAAACACGGGATCAGGGACATCTCCACCGCCCGCTGCACCAGGAGCGTCTTAAGCCGAGGGACGCGGGGTCACGAGGTCAGGACATCTCCACCGCCCGCTGCGCCAGGAGCGTCTTAAGCCGAGGGACGCGGGGTCACGAGGTCAGGACATCTCCACCGCCCGCTGCGCCAGGAGCGTCTTAAGCCGAGGGACGCGGGGTCACGAGGTCAGGACATCTCCACCGCCTGCTGCACCAGGGATGTCTCCAGCCGGGGGCCACACGGTCACCAGGTCAGGACATCTCCACCGCCCGCTGCGCCAGGAGCGTCTTAAGCCGAGCGACGCGGGGTCACGAGGTCAGGACATTTCCACCGCCCGCTGCGCCAGGAGCGTCTCCAGCCGAGGTGCACGCTGGCGGTGCCTACTGATCCCTGCTGCACCAGAAACACCCATTTCGACCTACAGCAGCTGCTAAGGGAGTGTAGCCGGGGGGGGGGGGGGGGATCAAGAGAAGCGACCCAACAAACCAGGTCCGGAACAGCACAACTATCATACTTGGCAGACAAGTTTAGACCTTCCACCTAGACAGACACAAAGTCTGGACGTCATCACCTGACGGCGGATACCATGAAGATCAAAATAAGTCCTTGCTCCACCTGCAAAAGCTCCGTCCCGCCGCCCGTACGAAAGTCTGTGACCACCCGGAGCCGGCTCAGCTCACCTCCATGAGCTCGTTGACAATGACGGTGCGCGTGTGCGGGTTGTCCAGCAGGGAGAGCGCCTCGGTGTCACGCGCCACGCCGCCCTCCAGGCCGCTGTGCTCCACCGTGATGCCGGCCACCTCCACCGCGGTCAGGTCCACCGGCTCCTGCGGTGGACAGCGGCGGCGTCAGCGGTGGACGCCGCCGGCGAGCCCGGTCTCCGGCCGCGGCAGCCATCGTGAACGCGGCGCCAGCGGCCGGCGGCGGGCTCCCGGTGGGACGGAAGGGTCCCGCCTCGCCGCGGCAGCCGGCTCAGCGCAGCGAAACGACAGGCTGGGTCGATAACAGGCAGGTTCGCCTACACGTCACAGCGCGATACCGCGCTGGTTTTTAAATATTGAAAGCTGGGTTTAAACATCCCCATTCGCCTTGAATGAGCGCAAGTGGTGTCCTTACAGACGCGGGCAGCCAGTGCAGTGGGCCCTAAAGAGCGCTGATATCCAGACACAGACCGTGGGGCGGGTAGCGTACCTGCGCGGGGACCTCAGAGCCCTCCTCCACCTCGATACCGCCCCAGTCGATGTCGCCTCCGGCATCACCTCCGGCAGCATCGTCACCGAAGTCTATCTCGGCCGAGTCGCCGAAGTCTATCCCGCCGTCGTCACCGAAGTCGATCTGCCAGGGACACACGGCACGACCGTCACGTGCCGCTCAGGCTTGATAGCGACTCACCGGCTGCCGGCTGCCCAGCTCCGAGCACGTCAGGCTATTCTACAACGCAGGAGCTGTGGTGGCGGTGCTGGTAGTTTGGAGCTTTTGCGATGGTCTTTTCTAACAGTAAAAATAACACAGGGCTACACAATAACTATGTTTTGTTCTTGGTTGACCATATGCGCGTGTCGTGCACAACAATACATGCATGAGCAGCATCTTCAAATGTTGTTTACGCATGTCCTATGGGTGATATGATTGTTGCACTGAAGTGTTCGACCATTCGGCGCCCCTCGAATCGCCGCCAAAGATCATCACATCAAAATCACAATGGCGGCACCTTTTATCTCGCTAGCCAAACCAACAAACTCCCCACAAACGTCAAGCGCTTGCCGACGCCCATGACCTGTCCCGGCCCTGAGGGTCCACGCCTGCTGACCTGGTCGTCGTCGGCGCCCGCCGCCTCGTCGGTCGGGTCGACGGCGGCTGGCGGCGGCTCCACGCGCAGCGGCGGCTCGCCGTACCGCCACTGGTACGTCGTGACGTCGCCGTTCTCTGCCGGAGGGCGGCACAGTCGGCGCCAGCTGACCACCGCTCACTGGTGCTGACGGCTCCCGAGTAGGCGGTGCAGGGGAGACTGGCCTCATCCACCGAGACGGTGGAGGGCGACGGTGGGACCCTCACTAGATCCACTAACGGGATGGTGGAGGGCGACGGTGGGGACCCTCACTAGATCCATCCACTGACGGTGGGGGGCGACGGAAGAGAGTCTCACCTCATCCACCGACGGGACGGTGGAGGGCGATGGTGGGAAACCTCACTAGATCCACCAACGGGATGGTGGAGGGCGGCGGTGGGGAGCCTCACCTAATCCACTGACGGCATGGTGGAGGACGGCGGCTCATCGCCCTAAGATCAGCATGGTTCTACAACCCAATTCTACCTGTCTCAACTGCAGCATGCTTTCACCACACCCCACTCAGATGACGCGCAGCTACGCCCTTGAAAGCAAACGCTCTCACCAACCACCGATTACACAGAGCTTGCCCGCCAGTATCGAGACCGCCGCGCAACAGTTCATCAAAGAAGTCGATAACACGTCCCCACGAACTGGGCACTTTTTCAGTGCGCACTGCTGAGACAACGGACCGATCAGCCCGGAAGTCCTTCATCCCAGCAATCCTTGGCAAACCATTGTGGCATCGCTCTCCACTGCGCCAGTGTGCAGGTGCCTACTGCCTACCGACGAAGTAGTGAAGCGTGGGCAGGAGCTGGTCGTCGGCGACGGAAGGGTTCACGAACTTGACGAACGCCCTGTAATAGGCGATGGGTTCCCGTAGCGCCTGCGCCTTCTCCACCACCTGGGCATACACCTGCGGCGGAGGGGTGTGTTGTCAGGAACTGCGCACTGAATGCAGGTCACCCATGTCAGACTAATGTGCATGTGAGGTGAGGCGAGAGCCAAGACATGCATAGAGGGGCTTCGACCTCGAAGGCCGCAGCGGCATGGCGTTCTCTTCATTTACAGAATCGATAACCAACTAGAGTGGCGTCTTCCCTGTCACACCGCCACATCGATCGATAATGCCAGTCCCCGGCGCCGTGGTATCCCGCGACAGCTGACTGCAAAACGCTCATCCATCGCGAGTGCGCTGAATTTGGCCCGCGGCGAGAATGATCAAACTCTGGCAGAGTGCTCGGGCCACAGGACGGGCCGGGCGGCGTCAGTTCCACTACCGCCCACCACCTCCTCCACGCAGACTTCTTTGCCGCCGAGTTACGCACAGATCCCGCAGAGTCCGCAACCGTGCTCGCATCGCCCGGACGGTGCTACGAACCGCCCGTAGAAGGCACTCGGTGGCTTCCTCGTTCCGACGCTTTCCTTCGCCCCGACACCCCTCTGTCCTCTCTGCTGCCCACGACAGCTTCTTTCCGTCGTTCCTTCCGTCGGCTCCGTTCAATCGATTCGTCGTGTGTTGTTCAGGCCTGCGCTTAACGTCGTGTGTTGTTCACACCTGCGCTCGACGTGTGTGTTGTTTAGACCTGCGCTCGACGTCGTGTGTTCAGACATGCGCTCGCGGAATGCCTAAGCCCTGGCCGCCTCTGGTTAAGATGGCCGCGCCTGTCTGTTGGATCGGTGGTTCCGCTCACATCTCTGGCAACGGTAATTTCCATCGACGAAAAAAAACGCTGATTTGTTGCATCCGCAATTTTTTCGCTATACTCCGGTTCCAATAGTTCCGCCGAAACAATATCAAAACCCGGCATGATGACAAATATTTTCTCAAAAATGGTTCAAACGTGATCTTTCCTTCAAATACCACGCTTGAAATGGCATCCGTCACGACAAACTGACGCAAACAGGACGAGGTTGCAAACCGTACTAAGAAAGCTGCACCATGTTTTATACATGTTTTTATAGCAAACCATCATCCAAGTTTTCTGATGTTGGCAAGCCTCTTCCTCATCTTTATGGCGCCGATTAGATCGTTTTGCATCACTTTTTCTGTCGCGAGCACTCGCGCTAAGCGTTTGACAGCGACAGCCGCCTGTTTGGTGCGCCTCTTGCTGGCACCTCTTCCAGGGCACAGGACCAGATGCTCCAGGACGCAGCACGAGTGGAAAAATTGCCACTACCAGACGAGCTACGCAGGATACCGTCGACTGAATGGACAGTATGTGGCACCCTAAGAAGATGCCCATTAATTTCGAGGAAAAATAAACTGAGTCAGGCAGGAAGAGTGAGGAGAGAAGCGAATCCATAATACAGCATAAAAGTTGGCTATTACATGTTAAAACAGACTCAATGCTGTCCTGTCCTGTCTTGTTCTGTTCTGTTCTATTCTGTTCTGTTCTGTTCTGTCCTGTCCTGTCCTGACCTGACCTGACCTGACCTGACCTGACTTGACATAACCTGACCCCACAACATTCCCTTCCTCACCCCTGCAAAGTCCCACATAAAACGACGTCAGTTCGAAATCATGACGTCACGTAACACAAAAGGTTTCTATTTCCCACTCTTTGACAGTCGCTATCTCGCTCCGCCTCCTGCCCCACCTCTCCGGACCTCACCTGTGGCAGCTCGTCCAGCAAGTGCAGGATCTCTGTCTTCAGCTTGTGGCCCTGCAGACCCAGTTGCCGGCAGGAGGCGTCGTACTGGTCGCGCATTGACTTGGCGTTGCGGATGTAGTCCTGTTCCCGCTTGTCGCAGTCCTGCGACGGACATCCGGGTCATCGGGGTCGGGATCGGGGTCGGGGTCTGGGTCTGGGTCTGGGTCGAGGTCTCGGGTCAGGGTCGGGGTCTCAGGTCGGGGGCGGCTGGCGCTCAGTTAGGGCGATGACTACGGCATGGGAGGCGTGGCCACGCTGCGTTCATGCGTGACAGCTGGATCATGTCGAGTCACGATGACACTTGAGCTCAACAAGTTTTTTTCTGGGAATACCGTGCTGAAGAATACCATGGTACGGTGACCCAATTGTGGTGATGCGCTTTGGTACCACCGGTGTAGCTTTAGCATCCATGGTGATCGAATTGTGATGGTATCGCCAGTATCGTTTTGGCATCAAGTCTTAGGGATTTCAGTTTGAATTTGAGGACGAAGAGAGGGTTCCCAAACAAGATACTGGTGATAGGCGAGGATTAGTTAGGCAATGACAAAACAGCCAAACAATACAAAAGAGGAAGTATGCGGTGGACGTTCTCTACCACACCATGTTACCGCCTCAGAGTCGTACCGTCTGTGCCTGCTCCAGCTTGGCGATCTGCTTCTTGATGCCCGGTATTTCGTAGTTGACATTCCTAACCAGAGCCTGGGATGCCTCCGCCAGGCCCACGTTTTTGTTGACGTACATCTTCACCTGCAGAAAACGGGGTCAGATCTGAACACTACCAATCATACCATCACTGTCACATCACATCACATCATCACTATTCATATGACCGCCGCCGTCACATTTTTTGGCGTCGCTTTTATGTGTCACTGCACATGCTTAATCCTAAGGCACTCAAGCAATTCCAAATTGACTTTTCAAGTAATTTCAGTTTTAGATATATGTATTCCGAATGCTCCACATGAGGGACTTTAGGTTCCTGACACCTGCCAACCGGCTTTTTACTTGCCAGTTCGGTTCCCATTATGTGCAATCCGCGCCGTCAGCACGGCTCCAAATGATTAGTCTGCGCCCATCGACTGCGACATTCCGCTCTTTCGGTCAACGCCTCGTCCCAGCAGCTACTCAGCCACAAGACCACTGGGCTGAACGGTCTGGCCATTCTCCCGGCTATGCTCTCAGGTCAGGTCAACGAGGTCCGCCAGGAGGTCACGGGTGGGATGGTTCGATGTCGAGGTTGGGAATGTGACGGGGCGCGACCGTGCCCGTGGCCCGAAGTCGCCTTCCACGTCACGAACTACGCCGATCTGATCGGTGAGTGGGGACCGTGGATGGTCGGGCCGCCACTCATTGCGTCACTGAGCGGGACAGAGCTGCTCACTGTCTCACTGAGCATCACAGAGCTGCTCACTGTCTCACTGAGCATCACAGAGCTGCTCACTGTCTCACTGAGCGTCACAGAGCTGCTCACTGTCTCACTGAGCGTCACGGAGCTGCTCACTGTCTCACTGGGCGTCACAGAGCTTCTCACTGTGCCCCTGAGCGTCAAAGAGCCGCTCACTGTTTCACTGGGCGTCACAGAGCTGCCCACTGCGTCACTGAGCGTTACAGAGCTGCTCACTGCGTCATTTCGATACCTACGTAACGTTTGTTTGAGGGGAAGGTCAGGCTGACGTTAGATCTGTCGGGCATGAACTGCACCCCTATAATTCCCAGCCAAGTGTCCATAGGGGTAACCTGCTGGTGTTTCTCTAAGCGCGGAAGGAATCGATCTGCAGGCTTGAGCCGGGAAGTTACAATTGGTACTTACTGAAAGTATGCAAATGATGGCGGAAAATCGGAAAACGCTTCGTGCCTACATTTCTGGTTTGGAGACCACAAAAACTCAAAGTGCCCACGAAAACACTGCCCATAGCCATATCCAAGCTTGCTGTTGAAATCGCATCAACTTTGTATAACAATATCAGACCGGGACATTTTCCTTTTCATCTACTTTCCCTTGACACGATCTTGTGGTTAATCAGACAGTTGAAATGCAAACAAGGTGCCTTTTGGTCAAGCTTTACCGGCCGCTGTATTTTGCTATTGCAACCCAAAAAATCGGCACTTACCACCTCTTGCCAATCTTTCATCCGTTGGGATCCATAGAATCCAAATAAATTTTTGCTGTCTTTTTCTGTCTCTTTGAGGATTTCAATTATCTTCAAGCAATGGTAGTAGTTGATGTCTGCAATCAAACAACTAAGTCAACAGAGGAAGAGAAGATGATAGTGTTAGGATCAAGAATGTCAGTATGACAATAGACATAGATGAGAAATCCCTATGCATTGATCATAATCAAAATATCCTGATTAAAATCAGATAGTTATGATATAGATAAATCAAGCCAACCTTTAGAAAGGATGCTGTTTAAGTTGTACTATTCATTACTGTGCTGAGCATTATGTGAAAAAACACTGAGGCACCCAACAAAGGGCACTCCTAAACACAACCAAACCTCTCATCAAGTTGCCATCTCCCCATGAACCCTCACTGCCAGGTCAGCTGAGGGAGAGCCAATCATTTACACAGTCATCCCTGCCAGGCAATCCCACAATGCCTTGGGGGGTACTATGTGGGAACATCAAGCGTGGGATGACAGCTGGAAGGGTGTGCAGGGACTGACAGGGGCATCTCTGAACCATACTGGCCCAGTAAGGCACTCACGGGCGCCCGACAGCAGCTTGACAATCTCAGGATGCTCTGGCATGTCCTGAATGGCATGGTTGATCTTCTCACGAATCTTCAGCACTGACTCCTGCCAGTTCTTCTCGCAGTGTCGACGAGACACCAGCCAGTCCATCAGCTTGTTGGTGTGGATGTCAATTGGAAGGTCCTGTGGCATGCCAACTTGGTCATTTCAGTGACCAGCTCCATCAATGGGCTAGACATGCAATCTTCTGTGCCAGCTCCATGAATGGGCTAGACATGCAATGTTCTGTAGCTATATGCTTACCTTACACACTAGTATCAATCTAAATAACTACCTAAGTCCACATAAGCTGGCACAGATGTTACAATTGTAGGCTCAGTTTTGTGTAGCAGCATACCATCCTTGCCTTCCACATACCAAGCCTACAAAAAATACATGCCATTTAGGCATATGCAAATGGCATGTATGGTGCAATGCACAATGCATGCCTCCTGCACATCATAGGTGACTACTTAGGGGAACAGCCACTGGTTGCATTGGCAGCAATATGAAATCCTGCTTACCTGCATACTTGGATATTTCAGTAGAATAATTCAAATAAAGACAACCTGCAAAAGTAAGCATCATAATGTGATGAGACTTATACAGCTATGGAGCAACTAATACAACAATGCAACAAAATAATTTAGAGAGACATGGACTAATGTCTCATACACCAATGAACTTTTATTTCTCTCAGTAAGAATATCCATCAAGTCACACACATCTCAGGACAGCCCTGTAATTTTGAAAAAGGTTATCAATGCTAAATCACCTTGCCTTCACTTTGCCAAGTATTTTTTATTACTCAGCCGTTTTGACTCTGGTGAAAGACAATTGCTACCTCACCAAATAAGTGAGCAAAAGCAGCTAAGTACCATAATGGTTAGAACCAGAGAAACAGCATATTGAGAGTGTGGCCCAGCTACCAAGCTGACTGCATTTGTTCAACACCACAACATGTTGACTGCATTTGACACATGATGTGCATGGGGAAAAAGACACACAGTGCATTTCAGCTTGCACCAGCAATGCTTTGCCACATGCAATTAACTACCATGACAAGCTTAATCTTTGGCTGGCCTTTCTGTCATTCTTCATACTAACATCATGCAAAACTACTGACATACATGTTCTGCGCAAGAAATTCAGTCATTAGGTATTGCAGTCATATGCTGCCTAAGGATCATCTTTTTCTGTCACATGTGGGCTTTAAATGTCAAGGACAATTACAAGACACATTTTCAGCACTCATTTTCCCTGCCAAAAGGATGGCACTCCAGTTACATGTTGCTCATAATCAGATGTACGCTATTCTTGCAGCCTCCAGCCTGGCGTGCCCCGAATACAACAACAATCAATGACATGCTAATTAAACACTTCCCCATATTCACCTACTAGAAGAAAGTGCCAGTCATAGCAAAACCAACAGCGAGTATATTTGCCTCAATCCTCCCGGCCCGTCCGTGCCAGCGACAACACACGGAACTCGCGCGGAACGTGGTCCAACACACCAACATATGGCTCGCGTCTGCTGCGGTATTGACTTTGTGCCGCCGTAATTGTTATACTAAACTGGAAGCGTCGGTGTGGCATGAATACATACTGACATCTCATTGGTGTTGACAAATTTGGTAGCGTAGCCCGACAGCCAATGAGATGGCTTTACGCCCGTGCTCGTAGTGGCTGTAGGCCCGTTCGAGCTGGTTCGTGTCGTGGAGGAGGGAGGATGCCGGGCGCGGGCTTTGCCATGCGCTGGTTTTCCCCCGTTCTGTAGAGGGTGGTGACGTCACTGATAACAAGACCGCAGGTAGCCGCCGTTAGCCGTGCATGGCGTCACTGCTAGTCGCATGCGGCGCCACCGCTAGCTGCTGGGTGAGACGTGCGTGACGGTGCGGGGACGGCTGGAACATTGAAATGCAGATATCGAACAAACTGTTAGCGGGAGTGCATGTGACCACCGGACCGATTGCGTAGAGTTTAATGGCCAGTATGGTTATATGCTTTGCAAGCCCATGTCGCTAACTACTTTAATGCCATCGTATGAGTGAAAACGTACACATGGGAATGGTATGAGGCCGGACGCCTGGAGCAGCGGGATCTCTTCGCATCGATAATGAATAAACTGCCGGCGGAAGGTGCACGTGACTAGCGAGCCCATTGCGTATGATTTAACGTCGAATATGTTGATGTGCTTGGCAAGCTTATGCGACAAGCCACTACGTGAAATCGACATGGGAGCTGAAAATGCCCACGCGAGAACTGCTGTATGGTGGGTGGACAGGATATCCGCCGGCTTTCAGGGAGCTACGGTGAGTAGAATCTATGTGGAGAGTATAAATGTGAACCAACTGCAGGCATAGCGACTAAATCAGCCAGCGTGAAAAAACGAAAAAGCACACACGCCAACTTCTGCAGATAGGCAGCTTGAACATCGGGCTACCTCCTTGCCAGTGACGAGTATATATTCTGACTGGTAGGCGCAGCATATGCCATTTCTGCTGTTCCGGTGTCTCGCCTCCAGATCACTGGTACACACGGTACGTCCGAGGTCCTTCTGTCTTTGACAGTCGTCACTGGTGCCCGTCACAGGCCCTCGTCACCAGTTCCGTCCCGCTGGCGGTTTTCAGTCTTCTCAGTTGTTACTGTCTTCTCTCTTGGCCCCCACGGCCGCGTCCCTCGCACGGAACGCCTGGGGCAGGAGGAAGGGAGCGCGAGCGCCTCTAATCGGCGTTCGCCAAACTTCGGAAACATCCAACATAGGTGTTTTCTGACACCTTACACATATTCCACGAACCAATCAAGTATAATCATGGGGTAGGCGTGATCATGTGCTTTGAGAGCTTGCATTTAGTGAAGACATTATAATCTAATCAGCATAGAAACTAGCAAGGCGGTGGCTAGGTGCAAGGACGGTGGTACTAGGGAGAGGAACGAGTCCCCCGCCCTTCTCCACTTGCCTTAAAACACAGCATGAGCCCATGGATGTTAACTAAAAAGAGTTAACCAAATGCCAGGGGTGCAATTCCCTATCCACTTGAATTCGGTTAAGGGGGTTTCACCCACCTTTGGGGACAAATAGGCCAAAAATGGGGAAAACGCATTTGTTTGCATTTCTGGGCGTAGACTGGGTCATTTTTCACTCTTCCCGGTAACTAAAATACATATCCTCAAAATGGATATCGTGGAAAGAAATCGGGATGCCTATGGAAATGATATACTACCTCTTACCCGTCTCAATGAAAACAGTTGGTCTAGGTTGGTGAGAAAGTACTCTACAATGCAAAGTATAATCTGCTTACCTAACTACCTACTGGGCAAAACTTTGCCATAGAAAGGTACGCAGCCTCCTCCAATAGTTACCTCACTTGCCAACAACATATCTGGCGCACCCAGCGCGCAAAATAACCGCTGAATATGCAGACTTACCGCGCTCGCTTTGATTCGCACCAGCGGCGGCGATATGACCACGGGGCGCGAGACCTATAGATCGAAGTGTATTGTAGTGGCTGGCCGCTTAAGGTTGCCACGTAATTTTCATACTCGTCGTCAGTTTTTATGAGATCTGCTTGCTGACCACCCATATCGGTCTCAACAGTCTGTTCGTTATAAGTACGAAGATAGCCCAATGTACATGCCGCCCTTTGACGAACAAGTATCGTGTGTGCGTCTTCACGAATCATGCTATTGAATTGTTATGGTTTGCCGCATAGGTTTGCAAGGCACTAATCCTATTCACAACAAATTACGTGTAGTTTGCGCGTGTGTCATGTGCAACTTATGTTACGCGTGATTTTCACATGAGATCTTGTTTGTGTTCTTCTTGCTTAACTCTTATTAGCTCTTAAAAGCTCCTTAGGATAATACGTCAACCGGCGATAATCAGATTTCCTTGGATTAATTATACATGCCATTGTTAATGGCGGCTGTTGGCTAATTGGCAGGTAATGAATTTGCGGCTTATTATCGAAGGTATATATATATATATATATATATATATATATATATTGTGTGTGTGTTGTTGTGTGTGTGTGTGTGTGTGTGTGTGTGTGGTGTGTGTGTGTGTGTGGTGTGTGTGTGTGTGTGTGTGTGTGTGTGTGTGTGTGTGTGTGTGTGTGTGTGTGGTGTGTGTGTGTGTGTGTGTGTGTGTGTTGTGTGTGTGTGGTGTGGTGTGTGTGTGTGTGTGTGTGTGTGTGTGTGTGTGTGTGGTGGTGTGTGTGTGTGGTGTGTGTGTGTGTGTGTGTGTGTGTGTGTGTGTGTGTGTGTGTGTGT